CTCCCTAAGCCAAACCATAACCCACAAACCTACTCCCACAAACATCCAAAATCATTTTATCTGTCCAAATAAAGTCTTTGTTATTCATTACTAAGCCTAGGCCGAAGGTGAACAACAAAAGGCAGAATAAAACCTTTGTTTGTTTTAAAGTCATAATAATCGATTATCCAACATAAATAATCGACTATTACTTCCCTCTGAATTTTCCTAACGTATTCCTGCAATGCTCCATAATCGATTATCTCCCAATGGAAAATCGACTATCACTCATCTCTGAAGATATCCAGTTTGGAAGCCAGTCCTTGTTAATCGATTAATCTTGGTGTCAATCGACTATTGAATACCTCTGAAAATTCTTGGTTTAGCAGACACACCTTGTTAATCGATTATCAGTAAGAGATAATCGATTATCACCTGTCTCTGAACTTAGAAACCAAAGTGGTCTTTGATTTAACAGTAAAAGTTTTGTCATTTAGGAACACACTTGACTACATACCATTCCCACTATATATGGACGAAATTCCCATGTTATTATTCAACAAAATCAAAGACTATTACAATACAAAACAAAGCTTAATCCCTCATCCATGTGCCTGCCCAAAAAGTCTTTGATTGAATAGTAATATCTTGTCATATTACTCACTAAAAGTCAAGCCATGTTGTTTCCTTTATTCTCCCACCTTAAGGACGAAAATCATACATTTAGACCACCCAAAAAACATGCCAAATCCCTGATCATTAGCCTTGAATTCAACTCATTTGGGATATTAACACATGCACATCATTTGTTTTATTTTGTAGGAAAGAAGTGGGAAGTTTCCTTTGTTGTATTTTATTTATCATGTAATCATGTTTGTTGTATTGTTTTCTCCATTCCATAGCCTATATATTTCAGCCCTGGTTCATTGTATTTATCAGCTTGTAAAAACATATTGTGATAATATAAGTTTCTTGCTCAGTTCTCTCTTTCTAATTTCTATATATTAAATCCTAATTCTATATCTTAAGAGTGGTTCTCTTAAGTGGAAGTTTTAGGTTCTAGATATATTAAATAAGTTGAGTGATTCCTTATTTAAATAACTAGAGTTAACCCGAGTGAAGATAAGTGTGTGTGATTCCTCTTATTATTCACTTGATAAATGCTTCTTTCCCTCTCCTTTGATTTCTCCTGAATTCAACCTCCCCTATATTTCTACATCCTTCTCTTCTTCTTCCTATTCTTAAGTTGATATCCTGGACTACCCCGAGTCTCGGGTACAACA